ACATCACACAGCTGGGAACATCCACCACCACCACAACACACAGCTGGGAACATCCACCACCACACACACACAGCTGGGAACATCCACCACCACAACACACAGCTGGGAACATCCACCACCACAACACACAGCTGGGAACATCCACCACCACACCACCACACACACAGCTGGGAACATCCACCACCACCACACACACACAGCTGGGAACATCCACCACCACAACACACACAGCTGGGAACATCCACCACACCACATCACACAGCTGGGAACATCCACCACCACAACACACACAGCTGGGAACATCCACCACCACAACACACACAGCTGGGAACATCCACCACCACATCACACACAGCTGGGAACATCCACCACCACATCACACACAGCTGGGAACATCCACCACCACATCACACAGCTGGGAACATCCACCACCACACACACACAGCTGGGAACATCCACCACCACATCACACACAGCTGGGAACATCCACCACCACATCACACAGCTGGGAACATCCACCACCACAACACACAGCTGGGAACATCCACCACCACAACACACAGCTGGGAACATCCACCACCACATCACACACAGCTGGGAACATCCACCACCACATCACACACAGCTGGGAACATCCACCACCACATCACACACAGCTGGGAACATCCACCACCACATCACACACAGCTGGGAACATCCACCACCACACACACACAGCTGGGAACATCACACACACCTGGGAACATCCACCACCACACACACACAGCTGGGAACATCCACCACCACATCACACACAGCTGGGAACATCCACCACCACATCACACACAGCTGGGAACATCCACCACCACCACCACAGCTGGGAACATCCACCACCACATCACACAGCTGGGAACATCCACCACCACATCACACAGCTGGGAACATCCACCACCACATCACACACAGCTGGGAACATCCACCACCACATCACACACAGCTGGGAACATCCACCACCACATCACACACAGCTGGGAACATCCACCACCACATCACACACAGCTGGGAACATCCACCACCACATCACACAGCTGGGAACATCCACCACCACATCACACACAGCTGGGAACATCCACCACCACATCACACAGCTGGGAACATCCACCACCACATCACACAGCTGGGAACATCCACCACCACATCACACACAGCTGGGAACATCCACCACCACATCACACAGCTGGGAACATCCACCACCACATCACACAGCTGGGAACATCCACCACCACATCACACAGCTGGGAACATCCACCACCACAACACACAGCTGGGAACATCCACCACCACCACATCATCACACAGCTGGGAACATCCACCACCACATCACACAGCTGGGAACATCCACCACCACAACACACAGCTGGGAACATCCACCACCACATCACACAGCTGGGAACATCCACCACCACAACACACAGCTGGGAACATCCACCACCACATCACACAGCTGGGAACATCCACCACCACATCACACAGCTGGGAACATCCACCACCACATCACACACAGCTGGGAACATCCACCACCACATCACACAGCTGGGAACATCCACCACCACATCACACAGCTGGGAACATCCACCACCACACACACAGCTGGGAACATCCACACACCACATCACACAGCTGGGAACATCCACCACAGCACATCCACCACCACATCACACAGCTGGGAACATCCACCACCACATCACACACAGCTGGGAACATCCACCACCACATCACACAGCTGGGAACATCCACCACCACATCACACAGCTGGGAACATCATGACACTACAACCACTACCTTGGGACTTCAAAACATTTACATTCTTTAAGACTTTTTCAAATACTTTTATAAGTGTATTCTGTGTTGTGCATTCTCGAGTGTGTAAATAACTCTTTTTGTTATATATATATTGTACATTCTTAAAAGTAAGTTTAACACCTGTAGTGTATGTTAATAGACAGTTGCCTGTGTATGTTCTCAATAGACATTTGTCTCTGAATAACCATCAATATTTTCAACCGAGCATCTTTTTTATTAATTAATCTGTATAAATAAAAATGTAAATGTTCGTTTGTTAAAAAATCGTTAATCTCCGAAAGTTCTTCACCGATTGGCGCGTGTTTTTATATACCTTCTATATACATGCCTCACCTATGACAGGAAAAAAGAAGTTTTTTTTTTGTATACAGCGCCATCTGTTGAACGTAAGAGCAACACACGCAGTAATCTACAAAAGTTCTTCATTGATTGCTTTCAAATTTTGACAGAACGTTCCATTCTAATATGCGCGTGTTTGTATACACCTATTATACAGATGCCACCCCTGTGACAGCTATACTATATATGTTACAATTCTATTTCAATGTTTCTAATTGCATTGATAAATATAATTTTCATTGATTTTGATTTATTTTCACTTTGATTTAATTATTTTGTGTGACATTGCGTTGGAATTGAGCTGTGTTGTTTACCATACCGTTCATTTCCTGAGTATACTTTATTTGTGTATTTTTTTCATTTTTTTCATTTCGTTTTTTAGCTGTTCTTATTTTTCAGTGATGGGACCATCAGATCATTTGATGTTCCCATTTTTCTGATGGGAACATCAGATCATTTGGGAACGCATCGGACGAGGGAGTGGAGAAAGGTGGGGAGGACGAGGGGACGGGGAAGTGGGGAATGATGGGAAGGACGAGGGGACGAGGGAGTGGGGAATGGTAGGGAGGACGAGGGGACGAGGGAGTGGGGAATGGTTGGGAGGACGAGGGGACGAGGGAGTGGGGAATGATGGGAAGGACGACGGGACAGGGGGAGGTGGGAATGGTTGGGATAACAGGGGGGGGGGGGCAGGGGAGGGCTACTGTGGCTCAGCAATGCGCATGTATTGTTGAGTTACAGCAACACGTGCCCGGGTATAGCTAGTTTAAAATATATATGTTCAAGAGTTTAAAATTTTAGTTTAAAATAAATGTTTTCAAATAACTGAGCTATGGGTATTGTTTCATCCATAGTGTCCTTGTTATTGTTTCATTCATACTGTTCTTGTTATTGTTCCATCCATAGTGTCCTTGTTATTGTTCCATCCATAGTGTTCTTGTTATTGTTCCATCCATAGTGTTCTTGTTATTGTTCCATCCATAGTGTTCTTGTTATTGTTCCATCCATAGTGTTCTTGTTATTGTTCCATCCATAGTGTTCTTGTTATTGTTCCATCCATAGTGTTCTTGTTATTGTTCCATCCATAGTGTTCTTGTTATTGTTCCATCCATAGTGTCCTTGTTATTGTTCCATCCATAGTGTCCTTGTTATTGTTCCATCCATAGTGTCCTTGTTATTGTTCCATCCATAGTGTTCTTGTTATTGTTCCATCCATAGTGTTCTTGTTATTGTTCCATTCATAGTGTTCTTGTTATTGTTCCATCCATAGTGTCCTTGTTATTGTTCCATCCATAGTGTTCTTGTTATTGTTCCATCCATAGTGTTCTTGTTATTGTTCCATCCATAGTGTTCTTGTTATTGTTCCATCCATAGTGTCCTTGTTATTGTTCCATCCATAGTGTTCTTGTTATTGTTCCATCCATAGTGTTCTTGTTATTGTTCCATCCATAGTGTTCTTGTTATTGTTCCATCCATAGTGTCCTTGTTATTGTTCCATCCATAGTGTCCTTGTTATTGTTCCATCCATAGTGTTCTTGTTATTGTTCCATCCATAGTGTTCTTGTTATTGTTCCATTCATAGTGTTCTTGTTATTGTTCCATCCATAGTGTTCTTGTTATTGTTCCATCCATAGTGTTCTTGTTATTGTTCCATCCATAGTGTTCTTGTTATTGTTCCATCCATAGTGTTCTTGTTATTGTTCCATCCATAGTGTTCTTGTTATTGTTCCATCCATAGTGTTCTTGTTATTGTTCCATCCATAGTGTTCTTGTTATTGTTCCATCCATAGTGTCCTTGTTATTGTTCCATCCATAGTGTCCTTGTTATTGTTCCATCCATAGTGTCCTTGTTATTGTTCCATCCATAGTGTTCTTGTTATTGTTCCATCCATAGTGTTCTTGTTATTGTTCCATCCATAGTGTCCTTGTTATTGTTCCATCCATAGTGTCCTTGTTATTGTTCCATCCATAGTGTTCTTGTTATTGTTCCATCCATAGTGTTCTTGTTATTGTTCCATCCATAGTGTTCTTGTTATTGTTCCATCCATAGTGTTCTTGTTATTGTTCCATCCATAGTGTTCTTGTTATTGTTCCATCCATAGTGTTCTTGTTATTGTTCCATCCATAGTGTCCTTGTTATTGTTCCATCCATAGTGTCCTTGTTATTGTTCCATCCATAGTGTTCTTGTTATTGTTCCATCCATAGTGTTCTTGTTATTGTTCCATCCATAGTGTCCTTGTTATTGTTCCATTCATAGTGTTCTTGTTATTGTTCCATCCATAGTGTCTTGTTATTGTTCCATCCATAGTGTTCTTGTTATTGTTCCATCCATAGTGTTCTTGTTATTGTTCCATCCATAGTGTTCTTGTTATGTTCCATCCATAGTGTTCTTGTTATTGTTCCATCCATAGTGTTCTTGTTATTGTTCCATCCATAGTGTCCTTGTTATTGTTCCATCCATAGTGTTCTTGTTATTGTTCCATCCATAGTGTTCTTGTTATTGTTCCATCCATAGTGTCCTTGTTATTGTTCCATCCATAGTGTTCTTGTTATTGTTCCATCCATAGTGTTCTTGTTATTGTTCCATTCATAGTGTTCTTGTTATTGTTCCATCCATAGTGTTCTTGTTATTGTTCCATCCATAGTGTCCTTGTTATTGTCCTGTGGGGAATTTTCCCAGCAGAATTTTTCTTGTTCATTAATTATTGATAAAATTATTAATTTAGTAAACTTTTTTTAATTTATTATTATTTATTCAAAGCGGACTGTATATGTAAAATTGGACTGTGTATTCTGAGATAGTCCTGCCAGGACTATCATGTTCTCTTCTGTCATGTTCATAGAAAACGGCACCATCCGTTTGTACGCGTTGCGGGTCAGACGCCAACGGTAGATACACAACAGAGAGCGTACAGGACGCCCGCCAAGCTTGGAAGTTGGTAGTCATGTATCATTATAAATATTAAAGTCAGTAACCAAGTTATGGCTTTATATCAACCCTACAGCCAAGACTTCCTCAGCAACACACAACACCACATTTTCCTGCTCACATATATGGGAAATATGTGATACATCCATATCACATGTTTGTTTTCCTGCTCACATATTTATGTATGTATACTACCTATCAAATACTTGAATTAATAGAATATATGAGTTAGTATTGTACTAAGTACTAGTACTATTGTTCCTTTTAGTACCATTGTACTAAAATGGGTTAGTACAATAGTAAATGCAGCTGTTATATAGAATATATTTGGTTATCCAGCCGTGTAGATGTACTGATATAAATTTTTTAAATTTTTCCCAGAGGGGCGAGTTTATTGGGCAGCGCCACTCATCCTGTGAGTGGACGTACCGCTTTAGCAGCATGTACTACACTCCCCAATAGGAAGAAAACCCGCTGGGTTGTTCATCTTGTCACTCCTCAGCGGGTTTACTTCCTACTGGGGAGTGTTGTTCATGCTGCTTTGGCGGTGTGTTCACTCACAGGTGTTCTGATCGTGTGCGCCGCGTGGCCTGTGGTCGAACCAATATGGCGTCAAGACAAGTTATGGACAGAACCATTATGGCGTCAAGACAAGTTATGGTCAGAACCAATATGGCGTCAAGACAAGTTATGGACAGAACCATTATGGCGTCAAGACAAGTTATGGACAGAACCAATATGGCGTCAAGACAAGTTATGGACAGAACCAATATGGAGACAAGACAAGTTATGGACAGAACCATTATGGCGTCAAGACAAGTTATGGACAGAACCAATATGGAGACAAGACAAGTTATGGTCAGAACCAATATGGCGTCAAGACAAGTTATGGTCAGAACCAATATGGCGTCAAGACAAGTTATGGACAGAACCATTATGGCGTCAAGACAAGTTATGGTCAGAACCATTATGGCGTCAAGACAAGTTATGGACAAAACCATTATGGCGTCAAGACAAGTTATGGACAGAACCATTATGGCGTCAAGACAAGTTATGGACAGAACCATTATGGCGTCAAGACAAGTTATGGTCAGAACCATTATGGCGTCAAGACAAGTTATGGTCAGAACCATTATGGCGTCAAGACAAGTTATGGACAGAACCATTATGGCGTCAAGACAAGTTATGGTCAGAACCATTATGGCGTCAAGACAAGTTATGGTCAGAACCATTATGGCGTCAAGACAAGTTATGGTCAGAACCAATATGGCGTCAAGACAAGGTATGGACAGAACCAATATGGCGGCAGGACAAGTTATGGTCAGCCTTAACATAGCAGGATACATAGCCTTAACTCTCCAAGTGGACAAACCACTTGAGTCAGCCCCTATTCGTACCCGACATAACATTCGTATCTAGACCCGTATCTTCTCGACATTTCACAACGTCCCTAAACTGATGTACTAACTTGCCCGAACCTAACCTAACAGAGGACCACACCAATAGAAAACGGGACATCACATCAATTTAGCGAGTCGCGATACTTATCAGACACACTAAGTTGTATCGGATTTATTCATTAAAATACAATGTACTATCGAAAGAGAATGTGTTGGATACTTGGTTATGATAAATTCCGTTTGGTCAGTGTGAGGGAGGTGTCACTGGTCAGTGTGAGGGTGGTGTCACTGGTCAGTGTGAGGGTGGTGTCACTGGTCAGTGTGAGGGTGGTGACACTGGTCAGTGTGAGGGTGGTGTCACTGGTCAGTGTGAGGGTGGTGACACTGGTCAGTGTGAGGGTGGTGTCACTGGTCAGTGTGAGGGTGGTGACACTGGTCAGTGTGAGGGTGGTGTCACTGGTCAGTGTGAGGGAGGTGTCACTGGTCAGTGTGAGGGTGGTGTCACTGGTCAGTGTGAGGGTGGTGACACTGGTCAGTGTGAGGGTGGTGTCACTGGTCAGTGTGAGGGAGGTGTCACTGGTCAGTGTGAGGGTGGTGACACTGGTCAGTGTGAGGGTGGTGACACTGGTCAGTGTGAGGGTGGTGACACTGGTCAGTGTGAGGGTGGTGACACTGGTCAGTGTGAGGGTGGTGACACTGGTCAGTGTGAGGGTGGTGTCACTGGTCAGTGTGAGGGAGGTGACACTGGTCAGTGTGAGGGAGGTGTCACTGGTCAGTGTGAGGGAGGTGTCACTGGTCAGTGTGAGGGAGGTGACACTGGTCAGTGTGAGGGAGGTGTCACTGGTCAGTGTGAGGGAGGTGTCACTGGTCAGTGTGAGGGAGGTGACACTGGTCAGTGTGAGGGAGGTGACACTGGTCAGTGTGAGGGTGGTGTCACTGGTCAGTGTGAGGGTGGTGACACTGGTCAGTGTGAGGGTGGTGACACTGGTCAGTGTGAGGGTGGTGACACTGGTCAGTGTGAGGGAGGTGTCACTGGTCAGTGTGAGGGAGGTGTCACTGGTCAGTGTGAGGGGAGGTGACACTGGTCAGTGTGAGGGTGGTGTCACTGGTTAGTGTGAGGGAGGTGTCACTGGTCAGTGTGAGGGAGGTGTCACTGGTCAGTGTGAGGGAGGTGTCACTGGTCAGTGTGAGGGAGGTGTCACTGGTCAGTGTGAGGGGAGGTGACACTGGTCAGTGTGAGGGTGGTGACACTGGTCAGTGAGAGGGAGGTGTCACTGGTCAGTGTGAGGGAGGTGTCACTGGTCAGTGTGAGGGTGGTGACACTGGTCAGTGTGAGGGAGGTGACACTGGTTAGTGTGAGGGAGGTGTCACTGGTCAGTGTGAGGGAGGTGACACTGGTCAGTGTGAGGGAGGTGACACTGGTCAGTGTGAGGGTGGTGTCACTGGTCAGTGTGAGGGTGGTGACACTGGTCAGTGTGAGGGAGGTGACACTGGTCAGTGTGAGGGAGGTGTCACTGGTCAGTGTGAGGGTGGTGACACTGGTCAGTGTGAGGGAGGTGTCACTGGTCAGTGTGAGGGAGGTGACACTGGTCAGTGTGAGGGAGGTGTCACTGGTCAGTGTGAGGGAGGTGTCACTGGTCAGTGTGAGGGAGGTGACACTGGTCAGTGTGAGGGAGGTGTCACTGGTCAGTGTGAGGGTGGTGACACTGGTCAGTGTGAGGGAGGTGTCACTGGTCAGTGTGAGGGGAGGTGACACACAAATACAGTACCACCACCTGACACAGAAATACAATACCACCACCTGACACAGGGATACAATACCACCACCTGACACAGGGATACAATACCACCACCTGACACAGAAATACAATACCACCACCTGACACAGAAATACAATACCACCAGTTGACACAGGGATACAATACCACCACCTGACACAGAAATACAATACCACCAGCTGACACAGAGATACAATACCACCACCTGACACAGAGATACAATACCACCACCTGACACAGGGATACAATACCACCACCTGACACAGGGATACAATACCACCAGCTGACACAGGAATACAATACCACCAGCTGACACAGGGATACAATACCACCACCTGACACAGAAATACAATACCACCAGCTGACACAGGGATACAATACCACCACCTGACACAGGGATACAATACCACAACCTGACACAGGGATACAATACCACCAGCTGACACAGGGATACAATACCACCACCTGACACAGGGATACAATACCACCACCTGACACAGGGATACAATACCACCACCTGACAGCTCGAGGCTCCACTACTATTTGTCATATATTTTTCTTACCGATTCTGAGTCTCTTCCAGAACCAATATTTATTGTAAGAGCCGTCTGTATACCACGGAACTCTGGGGCAAACACATTCACAAACAGACAAGGATATATTTGTAAATATCCACGTACACAAACCCACTAGTCTAATTGACAAACCTCCGGTTTTATATATATATATATATATATATATATATATATATATATATATATATATATATATATATATATATATATATATATACATGTAACAGCAAGGAGAAACATAACAGATTTCAATCTTAACACAGCATATCTCACCCAACACTTAAAAAGGGTCAGGATAAGGATTTGGGATGGGATGGGAGGAGGGGAATGGTGGCCAACCACTTGGACGGTTGGGGGACAGAGCGTCGACCTGCATGAAGCGAGACCGTCGCTCTACCGTCCAGCCCAAGTAGCTGCGGGGGTGAGGTGAGAGGAACATGAAAAAAGACTTTAATACAGAGAAAGTATCAGCGGAGGGGAAGTTGAACGAGAGAAAAGTTCATAGTGCTGGGCGACTTAAACAACGAGATGTTTGACTGGGAAACAATGTACGAAGATGGTACACGGAGAGAAAAACAAGTGAATACTTCAGATGGGAACTTGATATAGTGAACCCAAGAAGGTAAAGGATAGAAAACGAACAATAAGTTCCATACGCGTAATTTACGCAAACCGCGATATATGAATCAGTGAACAATTGCGACACTCGGACCACTTTTCCAGAGTTTTTTGCACTACATATCAGCCGCTAAAGATGGTAACGAATGAGTACAACGAGCTAGGAATGGAGATAGTTGAGGTTAACTCCATACGTGGATGCTAATGAAGTTAAAACGAAGCAAAACTAATAAAATATAGATGCTAGCCCAGGAACTGAGGCTCAACCGCCGCGTACACACCAGAGTAAGCACCCACACACACACACACAGTCACACACAGTCACACACCATGATACTTAGACTGTTATGCACAAGATGCAAGCAAAGGCAACGTTTCATATAGCCGGCACTAATCCTTACAAGAATCTAATGTTGCTTGGTATAATCCTAGCAAACGTTTACTTGAAATGATTCTAACCAACGTTCGTCAAAGCTGGAAATTATTCTAATCAACGTTTGTCAAAGCTGAAAATGATTCTAACCAACGTTCGTCACAGCTATAAATGTGTTCTAACCAACGTTAGTCACAGCTATAAATGTGTTCTAACCAACAAAGAGTCAAGGCGGAACAATCTATTCTCATCGTCAAGGGACCGGTCTATTGAACCAGAATTTTTTTCTTCAGGTGTTGCAACCAGAAAATATTTGGAGCGGGTTTGTGAAGGTGGTTTTCGGGCGGGCGTTCGAGGCCCCGAGAGGACAGGGTCCTAAATTATCTTTTCCATTACCTGAAATTTTAACCTTTAAATTTAAGAATATGGTAACGTGAGAATTAATGACACTATAAGAGGGACTTTTAGCCCATTTAAGGCAACTCAAAAAAAAAAATAAAGAATGTGCTGTAGGCCTATTGGCCCCTTACTAGGCAGCTCGTATATAAAGTTTATTTGAATTTAATATTTATAACATTGTGTATCTTCAATAGTTTGTCGGTTCAACAAGCAACAAATAAATAACTCGTGTCGTTTTTTTGTGTGAAATTTAAATAGAATGTTAAGCAATTTTTGCACCGAAGTTGGTCTTGAAATTGTAGATTAGCTTAGTTTTCAGGGCGGGGTAAAAATAGTTGGGAGTTGTTGGAGGGCAGAAATGGCTTTCTCTCGTGTGCACTCCTGCTAAATTGCCTTTGTCAACAAGTAAGGATGTGCGCCAGACTGGGGACAACGGCCCACACACACCACCTATTTATTTTAGTTACTCGTCCAGTTAGTCTGGGAATGATCGAGCCTCGGTGATCTAACTTACTCTGCGTGTGTGTGTGTGTGTGCGTGTGTGTGTGTGTGTGTGTGTGTGTGTGTGTGTGTGTGTGTGTGTGTGTGTGTGTGTGTGTGTGTGTGTGTGTGTGTGTGTGTGTGTGTGTGTGTGTGTGTGTGTGTGTGTGTGTGTGTGTGTGTGTACTCACCTATTTGTACTCACCTATTTGTGCTTGCGGGGGGTTGAGCTTTGGCTCTTTGGTCCCACCTCTCAACTGTCAATCAACTGGTGTACAGGTTCCTGAGCCTATTGGGCTCTATCATATCTACATTTCTACATTTGAAACTGTGTATGGAGTCAGCCTCCACCACATCACTTCCTAGTGCATTCCATTTATTAACTACTCTGACACTGAAAAAATTCTTTCTAACGTCTCTGTGGCTCATCTGGGTACTAAGTTTCCACCTGTGTCCCCTTGTTCGTGTCCCACCCGTGCTGAAGAGTTTGTCTTTGTCCACCCTGTCAATTCCCCTGAGAATTTTGTAGGTGGTTATCATGTCTCCCCTTACTCTTCTGTTTTCCAGGGATGTGAGGTTCAGCTCCTTTAGCCTTTCCTCGTAGCTTAATCCTCTCAGTTCCGGGACGAGCCTGGTGGCATACCACTGAATCTTCTCTAACTTTGTCTTGTGTTTAACTAGGTATGAACTCCAGGCTGGAGCTGCATA